GGCACGGATGTTAGCCCAGGGCCAGTCTTCCTCAGCAAAAAGAGGAGGATTGGCATGGATGTTAGCTCAGGGCTGATCTTCCTCACAAAAAAAAAAAGAGCGGCTGGAATGTTGTGAGAGAGGCTGAGCTTCTACTTCCGGGGCAAAGTGCCTCCAGTGCTTGACTTCCAGAAACAGCCACTCCAGGTGTGCTTAGGCCATGTCCAGCAGTGGCATTTGGTTAATGTGCTACACGTGCTGCTCAGTAGAGCATGAGTCCCCCTGAAGTGAAGTCGGGCTAGTTAACCAGGTGCTCTAAAACATCTAGTGTAAGGCTTTGAAAACTAGGTGAAGAATTTAGCCAATATTCACTGTGTAAAATTGGGAACCTTCAAATGTTTGCCACAGGAGGCCATTGTGTTTGAGAAATATTAAACCAATGGGACTGGAGGCCAGAGATGAGCTGAGAGTTTACATTAGTGATTTATCCAGAAGTGAAGTGTTCTTTGAGTGTGGATTGGCAGTGAGGTGTGTAGGGGAAGGGATGGATGGGCGAAAGAATTTAAAAAGAAGACTTGACAGTATGTAGTGACAGAATAGGTTACAGGAGTCAGTCGTGACTCTCTGGTTTTGAATTGGGGGTGTATTTTGGGATGTTAACAAGAAATCCTGCCTCAATGGACCTAAACAATAGGAAAATGTATCCCCTCAAATAAAAATAAGTCTAGTGTGATTCTGGAGTTGATTAATTTAATGGCTCAAAGTCAAAAGCAGCATCAAGGACTCATTCTCCTGCGTACTCAGTGAGTTGGCTGGTCTGAGTGTACTTTGGTTGGTTTTCTTCATGGTCCAAGATGGCTGCTCTAGCTTCGTCGTCCCATCCTCACATGCAGATGATAACTAACTGGATGAAGAGGGGCTGTGTCTTTTTACCAGTGCAAAATTTTTCCCAGAAACCCCCTCCCTCCTCCAACACACTCCCTTTCATGTCTTGTTGGTCAGAGTCATGTAATGTGCTCATGTCTAAACTAATTATTGGTGAGAGAAATAAGAGTATGAATAAACCAGTCACGACTGAGGAAGGATCCAGACTCCTCTAAAGCAAATGGCCATGTGCTACCTGAATAAAATCAAGATTCTGGTAGCAAGGAAGAAGGTAGAGGCACGACTGTGAATACAGGCAACCAGCAGTGTCTGCCTGGGGGAGGTCTGACTATAGCATGTTTTAAAATCTGCTCAGAAGTCTGGTTCTAGAAAAATTTGCCCAAAGGTTCAGAGTTACAAGTGTGATCACTTTGAGAGAACAGCTTGTCAGGAGCCCCAGGGAAAGAACACTTCATATTGTTGGAAATGGCTTTAATTATCTCTACTTCAGTCTGAATAACCTTAGTCCTTTTAATTATTTATTTTTTACACCCCAAAGCCCCAGTAGATAGTTGTATGTCATAGTTGCACATCCTTCTAGTTGCTGTATGTGGGACGCGGCCTCAGCATGGCCGGAGAAGTGGTGCACCGGGGCGCCCCCGGGATCCGAACCCGGGCCACCAGCAGCGGAGCGCGCCCACTTAACCGCTAAGCCACGGGACTGGCCCCTACCTTAGTCCTTTTAACTGTCCCTCTAAATCTTTTTTCCAACCTTTTTAATCATCATTGTATCTAAGCTTAGAGTTTTTCCAAGTTACAAATAGGCAGGTAAGAACCTAGGAAATAATATGTTCTGTGTATATTGAATAATAGGAAAAGAACTAAATATCACTTCAAATTGCCGACATCATACGATGTATCTGTAAACCAGAAAGTAGGAAAAATAATGTGATGTTAGCCAAAGGACCTCCAGGGTTCACTGTCACAGGCAGCAGAGTGTGTGTTGCCAACACACACTCTATGGGAAATGGTCCCATAAAAGAGGGTCTTGTCTTTATGTACTGTCTTAGCCATTGAAATATTATGCAAAAACCTTCATGCCAACAGCAGGACCACAGCAAATTTAATTAAATGGGAGCTAGGAAATTAAACTGAAAGAGACTTCCTTCCTACGTCAAGTCATTCATATAGTTTATTTGAAAAGTTTTTATTTTTAGCTGTGTTTTGTCTCCAAGTATACTTATATAGCATAAAATCTATGTTTATACAAATCTCATAGATTCATTTTGTTAAGGAGAGGCCTGTGGAAAGTGTGTGTGGAATATTGTGCACCTTTGCTCCGGGATTGATGGAGTGGAGAGATTCCAGGACTGGAATGTGTCTCAATTCAGCCACAGGTAGCCACTGCTTACTCAGTTAGATGAGTGAATGCTCCAGGGGCATCAGCACAGGACCTGTTATGTAAGTGCTCGCTGTTAACTAGTGTTAAATCTCACACATTACGAGGTAGGGAGTAGGTATAGCCAGCCCTAGTGGTCTAGTGGGTAAGATTCAGTGCTCTTACCACCACAGCCCGGGCTTGTTTCCCAGTCAGGAAACCACACCACCTGTCTGATGTCGTACCGTGGGGGCTGCGTGTTGCCGTGATGCTGAAAGTTATGCCACTGGTATTTCAAATACCAGCAGGGTCACCCATGCTGGACAGATTTCAGCGGAGCTTCCGGACTAGACAGAGTAGGAAGAAGGACCTGTCCACCTACTTCCAAAAAAACTAGCCTTGAACATCCCACGAATAGCAGTGGAGCATTGTCTGATACAGCGCTGGAAGGTGAGAGGATGGCGCAAAAAGACTTGTCAGGGTTCTCCTCTACTGTACACAGGGTCACTAGGAGTCAGAATCGACTCCATGGCACTAACAACAAAGTAGGATTATACTAACTTTATGGATAAGGGGTTAGTTAATAGCAGAGCAGAGATTTGAACTTTTAAGCTGTGAGGTGACACTAGGTAGATGTCCCTTTGGCTCTGTTTTCCTAGCTGCATGAAGATGTTAGTGAGGCACTTGTTTCCTCAGGTTGGGACTTACCAAATCTTGGGGAACAATTTCAATGATGTTTAAAGCCCCAAGCCCCCTCCTGATGTTGTTACAGGACTCCCAACCCTCCAGCTTGCCCCTTCTCCCTTTGAGTGTTTATGCCCTGTCTTGGAATTTGAAGCTTCAGATGTGGCTGTTCACAGCAATTCTTGTATTTCCAACAGGGCCCCTTTCTTTTCTGCTCTTGTGTTCTTATCTCTTGTCTGGCAGTTGGTGGGAATGAAGGGAGTTTTCGTCCTATAATCAGTGATTCTATCATTTTTCTAGGCCTTTAAAAGGTAGCCATCTCTTTTGAGTGTGAAGCTTCTGGAGGCCAGGGGCAGCAGCATCTGAGGGACACCACTCAGGTCACAACCTAACGTGCTCTTTGCTGGCTATTTTACCCAGTTACTAATAGTTTAGATGTGCACGTGTCTTCACCAGGCTCTTTGCTCTCCTTTCCTTCTTGTGTCTCAGACTTTCTCTAGTATCATTTTCTTTATGCTTGGGAAGTACAACTATGAGAATTTACTTTAGTGAAGATTTGCTTGAAGATTTGAAGAAAAACTGTTTTTCTTTGAAAAAGTCTTTATTTGTCCTTCTTAAGGCTACTTTTGGTCTGTATAGAACTCTAGATTGGCAGCTATTTTTTCTAGAACATTAGCGACATCATTCCTCTGCTTTCTGGTTTCCCTTATTGCTATAGCTTAATTTGTCTTTACTCTTGGATGCTTTTAAGACTTTTTTGTCTTTGGTCTTCAGCTGTTTTATGATGATGTGTTTAGCTGTGTATTTTTTGCTTTTGTTTATCCTTCTTGGAGTACATTGGGTTTTTCGAATCTGTGTATTGGTGTATTTCATTATTTTGGAAAATGATCAGCCCTTCTCTCCTCACGTATCACCTCTGCTCTGTTTTTGTTCTTCTCTCCTGGAACTCTGATGAAATGTAGGTTAGACCTTCTCATTCTGTCTTCCACGTTTCTTCTCTTCTCTTTAATATTATACATCTTTTTTTCCTCTGGCTTTTGATCTACCTTCTAGTGCATTAAATCTCTCTTTAATTTGCTTTTAAACATGTTCAGTGAGTTTTAAACACTGTTTTTACGTCTTTTATTTCTAAAAGTTCAATTCTTTTCTTTGTTTTGTTCTGTTTGTTTGTTTTAATTCTATTAGCTTATCACTAGGCTTATCACTAACAAAAATACATGGATGCTTCACATTTCTGGGAAACTATGCTACATTTTGCAAGCATTTGTTGTGTTTGTGTTATCTGAGAGGAAGGATTTGACAAGTTTTCTTTACTCTTACCTTAGCACATTTCCGTCCTTTAAATCCGCTCCTTACTCTGAAGTGGTGTCTGTCTCTGATGGTGGCAGAGGCAGAACCTTAGAGCTTTCAGATGCAGCTGACTTGTGGCAAAAAGAAAGATGTGAAGATGCTTTTTCTGGGGTCTGAAGGGTGTTAGTTATAAGAATGGAGTGGGTGATCCTGAGTGACAGCGGTGCTAATGTATTCTGTAATCTATTTATTTTTGTGTATGTTTGTGATATTAAGGGCCTTCTGGTGTGTGTGGCCAAGAGCACGGGCCCTGCTTGCCTTCTTGCCTGGATCTTAGAGCAGGACTCTGCCAGATCTCTTTTTGTAGTTTCCTATTTTCTTCACATATTTCAAGATTTTCCTTCCTTTCTTTAAACAGTGTGAGGCAGATTGTGTGTGAAATGGCCACACTCTGAATTACCACACTCTTAAGTATTGATATCCATGTTGTTTCTGGGCTTGACCACATGACTCATTTTGGTTAATGGAAAAATAGTAAACTTGACGTAAGAAAAGGCATGAAAAGTGCTAGTGCATTAGGGTGTGTCTACTCCTGCTGCTGGGAAGCCCTTCCCACTGTGCGAACAAACCTGAGCTAGCCTCCTTGAAGATGAAAGGCCACATAGAGGGAGACCCCACCAATTCCAACCACCCCATCCATCCCAGCAGGCCCCTTTGGGGCCCCGGATCCTGTATATGGGTGAGGCCATCCTGGACCATCTGATCCCAGTGAGTCTGCCCAGATCAGAAAATCCTCCCATCTAAGCTGCAGAATCATGAGCAATAATAAATGCTCGTTATTTTAAGCCATCAAATTTTAGGTAGCTTGTCACTTAGAAAAAGCTAACAGACACACGTAGTAAGCACAGTTTAAAAAAACACTTGCCAATAGATCCAATACTTGCGGTCTTTGTGAGTATTTCTGTTGTCTGTTTTCTTCTTGCTGATTTTCCCTCATGATGCTTTGTTTCCCTGTGTGCTTGTTATTTTTGACTTGAGCTGTTCATTTATTATTCTATGCCAAATGTGAACTGTAAAACGATAGTCCTCTTAAATTTAATTAACAGATTTAATGCAACCCCTGAATTTAGAAAAATTTAACAAAAAGATTCTAACATTCAGTTTAAAGAGTAAATTAACAGAAATAACAAAGATTAAACATTCTAGAAAAATGTCACTGAAAGATACTAGTCTTACTGAATATTTAAGTATAGCAATTATTACAACTTGCACTAGTGTCACAACAGAAATAAATATTAATGGAACACAGGAAGGCCTGGGAATAGACTCGATTATATGTAAGAAACAATGGGACAAACAATAAGAAAGGGAAATATTATTTCATAAATGGGATTTGGCTACTGACTTGGAGGGGAAAAGTTTGATTCATTTCTTCTATCCCCTTCTTTGCCATAATGGAAACCAGAGAATCAAGGCCCAAAGGATGGTTTACATTGCAAGATTGAGCTCAGTAAGTCTGTGCAGAACCACTAATTGTTGGTTTTGGTGCATGAAGTGGAGGAAGCATAGTTCTAGGTATCTGTTCCAGATGCAAGAGAGTGTGTGAATGTGTGCTTGTGTGTGCGTGTGTGTATGCGTGCATGTATTGTGTGTGTGTATATATATTTTTTCACTACAGCATTATTCAAAATAGTGAAAAAATTGGAACTACCTGTGATGATCCACACGGAAATGGTCAAATTAATTTTGGTACATTCATATAATATTGTACCAAACTATTAAATATTGTACCACCTATTAAAAAGAGTGTGTAAGATTAATATGTACTGATTCGAAAAGATGTCTCAGAGCAATACATAAAAACTATGATTCCCTTTTTTGTGAAAAAATAAATTAAATAGAATGCATGTGTATGTAACTTAAGTGGTACGTGCTTAGATGCCCTCAAATGCTCTAGGGCTTTAGGGTTATCCTTCCATTTAATACTAAAGTGGCTATGCCCCTCCTCAACAACCCTCAAGATAATCTTCAGGAAATCATAGTGAGCCCATGCTTCAATTTCTTGCTCTCGTTACATGCTTGTTCTCTGCTTTGCGTCTTGCCACCTTAAATGTTCTCTTTTTCATTTCTATATTATTTAAATATGACATCAAAAGAGATGTAATGCATCTCCTTTTCCTTATATTTCCCTTACTCTCTCATTAACATAGGCCTTATGAGTAACTCATTTTATCAAAAGTTGGGAGTATTAAAGAAGGGATACACACCAGCACAGGTCAGTAAATAATAAAAAATTTAGAATATGTTTCTCTATTCCTAAGAATTCCAGCGACTGGTAATTTCTCACTAGCTGTGTTTTATCCTAGGCCTGGCTTCCCCCATGCTTTTTTTTCTCCTTTTATATGAAGAGCCCCCAATACCCCTAAAATTCATGTCCATTTCTCACGCTGCACTGTTGGAGGTCTCCAACACTCATTCAAACCACCTCCATCGTTCCCAGAACTCACTAAGATGTTCTGTTGAATAGAGTCTTCTCTGGGTCTTTACCTTTAGTGGTTAGAAGTGTGGCTGAAGTTTAAAAGTATAGTCAGTAATCTCTTCTTTAACATAATTATAGCCTTAAGGAGGCCTTCTCTTCCTTGCCAGTCTTAGTTAAGAAAAAAGAACAATATAAAATTTATCTCCCCACGGATGTGAATGGTGAATGGCCACTCACCTTCTCTTATAGGGAGTACTATCGACCATCAGATTTTGTGTTGCAAATAGTATATTTCCCCCTTCTGATAAAAATAAATACATACATATTAATGTGTGCATGAGTGTGTATATATTTGTATACCTACAACCTTACATGCACAACCTCTACTCCGAAGGATGACCTACTGATATAATTGAGATTTTCCTCAAAAAGTGGGTCTTGATTTACTACCACACTTGAACAAATAGATGTTGGAGACTTCCAAGTTCTAAGTCATAGATCAGTGGTTTCAAACTGCATCCTAAGGAGCTTTGTGGGTTGGTGAAGCCTTGTTTGGGAACCGGGATGCGGGGAACAGAGGTGAAGAGAAAAAGGACAAAAGAAACAGCCTGACTGGCAGGGGTCTAGCTCTTATGTCCCCTCCAACAGCCAGACCAAGTCTTGCTCTCTGTTACATATTTGGACACCAGTAAAATTTTGTCTGGATAGTGAGTTATGAGGCTAGAAAAAGTTTTGAAAGCTATTGCCATAAAACATGAGTCTGCAAACTGTTCTACAGGCCAAGTCTGGCCTGTATTTCGTTTGTTTTTGTACAGCTTATGAGCTAGGAAAGGTTTTTACACTTTTAAGGAGGTGTAAAAAAAGAG